GATCTATAGCGCACTATCTGATGCGTTACTGTAGCTGACGGCTGCATGCTTACAATTTGGTCTCTAATAGTATCGATCTTAGAAGTAAAGTAGTTCATAAAGTCATTACTGCTGTGCTGCTGGGAACACCTGTTGATGCTTTATTGATGCACTTCATTTCCTTAGATATCGTTGACATGATTGCAAAGATATTATTTAAACTGAACTGAGCTGGATGTTGACATCACTGAATTCAATGATGAACTGTCTTTAACTGAAAAATTAGTGTTTACTATTGTCACTTTGCATTATTGACACTATTTTCCTAATTAATGCTGTTCAGTTGCTTTGACACAATCTGTATTGTTAAAAGCGCTATATAAATAAAGGTGACTTGACTTGACTTTATTTTTTGTTAATTTAGCCACTGTATTGAATAAATACCTGGGGTTATGTTTGTTTTCCTTCAGCTGCGCTCCATTTTCCGGGCTGCGCTCTTTAGGGTGCGAGTGTGCTCATTATACCACGGTGTCAGACTGTTTTCCTTAATCTTCCTTAAGCGTAAAGGAGCAACCGTATCTAAAATGCTAGAAAAGAGAGAGACCATAGATTCTGTTATATCAAGTTGTTCTGAGGTATTGGATATGCGGAGGAATTGAGATAAATCAGGAAGATTACTTACAAAACAGTCTTTTGTGGTAGAAGTGATGGTTCTAGCATACTTGTAACATGGAGTAGAATTTACAGTTTTAGCTATATGAAGTTTGCACAAGACTAGATAATTATCTCTGTGTGTGGGTGTGTGTGAGAGAGAGAGAGTGTGTGTGTGTGTGTGTGTGGAGGTGCGGAACAAAACAACCTCACAAATATATCTCACACACACACACACACACACAGGAAGTGTCCTTATAAACCTTGTTTATGTTGTCGTACTCATGTCATTATACACATTTGTGTCCTCATAAACCTTATATACCAGTGCACACACATGTCAGTCTGATACAGAAAGCTCTGAGCACTGAGAGTTAGTGTTTGTGTTTCTGCAGTTGGAGCGTCAGCTGCTGATGCAGAATCAGATGCGTGAGCGTCAGATGGCGATGCAGGTCGCCTGGTCCAGAGAGTTTCTCAAGTACTTCGGTTCCTTCTTCGGTTTGGCTACGCTGGGTCTCACCATCGGGTCTGTCCACACACAGACACACACTTTCTCACACACACACACACACACACAGAGTTTCTGATACCTAAATTGCTGTGCTGATTTTTATGTGATGTTAGAATAGTCTTACAATGATTTTCATACATTGACTCGTGTTTCATCAATGACCCTAGTTCTTATTTTATTGATCCTCAAATAGGGGTGTGCGATATATATCGTCTACGATAATATCGTAATTGTTGTATAAACGATATGCGATTTGACGTTGTTGAGTATATCACAAAGACCAAACAGAAACACACAGAGTGCGCACCCACACTGAGATGCAGCTTACACTCTATTAAAACACATTTAGAATTCCCCCAAAATTACAAAAATACCCCCGTATGACTTTTATATGTCTTTTTATATTTATATCTGATATAGTTAATATCACACGAAGGGTGAAATTTTTCTCCAAATATCAGTAGTAGGATTGCAAATGTGATGATTTTATAAAACAGCACAGCAGTGTTTCATTACTGAATCAATCCGGCGTTTGAACGAATCGGTTGAATGAATGACTCAATGACTCGCTCATGCAGTGATTTGCTGCCATCTACTGGCGATTTTAGGTGTATATTTAAAGTATATTTTCCGGTCTTTTCCCACAAATCATTTCAAATATCACTATTGAACATTTGGTTTTTAAAACATCAAAACACATTTGTAGCTGCAGATGAACTGCATTAAACAGTCTGTGACAGATTCTGTTCCTCTGCACTGCAAATACTGATTTCATTTGACTGGTAACAGCCCTATAGTGTCTTACTATTTGAATATATTAATTAAATGTAAGAATTTGACACAAAAGATGATTCATACATTTAATTAGGTTTGAAAACATTTGGCCTTATAAAGGTAAAATGCCCATAAAAGGTAAAAAGCAATTTAAACTTATTGGAAGAGTTCATTTCTGTTACTGCTGCAAACGAAGCACCGCACAGAATATGAAGAATATCAGAAGCTCTGGGAGTCCTAAACCTGCTGGAATACCAGCATAATAACACGCTCCGCGAAATATCGTCTAATTATCGTTTTCGACAAAATTCCAGAAAATATCGAGAGAGCATCTTTTGTCATTATCGCGCACTCCTATCCTCAAATGCTCTGATTGTGAAATAAATAATGAAAATGAACAGTGAACAGAATGAGCGAATGCAGAACGATCCAGAAGAGTAATGTATGCCAATCTCTGGTGAGCGTGACGCCAGTTTATTTCTGTACCAGTCCCTCCAGGATTTCACCATTTTTGCACTCTAAATGACGGATTCTGTGGTGATTATTTCCAGAAATTTGAGGAAAATCTGCAATGTTTTTTTTTTATAATTAGGATAGCACTTTTACCATATTCTAAATTATTTTGGATGCACAACTATCATACATGAAAAAGAAGAAACAAAATGCATAAATGTTGTTTATTTTGAAAAGAAACCAATGACAACAGGACAAATAAGTGCAACACAAAGATAAACAGTGCTTAATATAGGGACTTTTTATTTTTGTGGTCAACAGCAGAACGTCTATGTCGTCTGTATTTTATCAATAGGACAACAAAACAGTGTAGCCAAAATTATAAATTTTTCTTTTATGCCAAAAATCATTAGGATATTAAGTAAAGATCATGTTCTATGAAGATATTTAGTAAATGTCCTACCGTAAATATATCAAAACTTAATGTTTGATTAGTAATATGCATTGCTAAGAACTTCATTTGAACAACTTTAAAGATGATTTTCTCAATATTTAGATTTTTTTGCACCCTCAGATTCCAGATTTTCAAATATTGTCCTATCCTAACAAACCATACATCAATGGAAAGATTATTTATTCAGCTTTCAGATGATGCATACATCTCAATTTAAAAAATATTGACACTTTGTGCTCCAGGGCCACAAATTAGGAGTAATTCAGTTAGATAATTATAGTTATAAGTTTTGTGAGACCTTAATTTTTGCGATTATATTGCGGTGAAATTAATAATTACGCAGGATTGCCAAAAAAAATCAACATTTTGTTGATTTTGCGTTGGATTCAGTGATCAACGATGATTGAGAGCGAGCGTCTGATCTGCTCACATGTTCCTAGATCCACACGCGTGTGAGAGTGCTTGTGAGCGTGTCTGTATGTTGACAGAGCCGTCAGAAAGAGGAAAGCGGCTCTGCTGGCTCCTGTGGTTCCTCTGAGCTTCGTCCTGGCGTATCAGGTGGATGCGGCCTACGGATCGCTGATGCACCGCATGAGGGGTACAAACAAACACCACACTTAACCAGACTACCCAGAAACCTCTGCTCGTCAATGCATTTCATATCTAACTGTTTCATCTTCAGCCTTCAGTGACATTGTTAGTGATTAAATGTCTGAAGGAGAAATAAATGGCCCAGTGACCTCGACTCAAAGCAGCTGTGTGACCTTTGACCTCACGTTACGTCATTCACGCCCGCCGATGATCATTTTGTTTCCTCTATTATGACTGATTGATTATTGATCGGCTTTACTCCAAAAGTATCCTGCTTTGATTTCCCAAAGGTGAATGTGAATAATGCTGTCGTTGTGACTGTCAGATGTAGTTAAAGTGCTGTTTGATGTGATGCAGAGGAGGCCGAGAGCATCATGGTGTCTGAGAGCGAGCGTCTGGCTCTTCCTCAGGGGATGCCCACGTTTGAGAGCATCGAGAAATCTCGCCGAGCCAAAGCGCATCTGACGTCTCTGCTGGAGAGATGAGAATCCTGACGTCACCTCAGATCGACTCCAGCAATGTTTCCTCCGTTAGCTGAAGCTGGAAGCTCCTCTGAGAAGCTCTCGATCTCAGCGCTCTAACACAAAGCCAATATTTCACCCAAAATTGCTGTCGGTGTCATTGATCAACATGTGATGAGTCGATTCTCAGGTGTTTTGGAAGAAACATGTTGCATGTTGAGATTAAATATGATTAAAAGATGTCGTGTGTAATTTCATCTTGATTCATTATTATAATGGAGAATCCAACAGTGTTCAGTTTTTATTGTGATCATGATCTTTGTTCAACAATGAGAGAGAGAGAGAGAGAGAAAGAGAGAGAGTGTGTGTGTGTGTGTGTGTGTAAGCGAGAGAGTGACGTCAGTCCGTGTCTGTATAAAGTCTCTCTGAACTGATGGCGAATGATCAGAAACCAGCAGCTCGAGGAACTTCAGCAGTCTTTTCTTATAAACTCTTGTTAATGTTCGTTCTGAAGATGTTTCGCGTGTTTTCGGCTGTTCTGCTGGTGTGTGTGTGTGTGTGTGTGAGCGCGGAGCGCGCGGATTTATCGAGAGACTTCGGAGTGAAACTGTGCGGCCGCGAGTTCATCAGAGCCGTGATCTTCACCTGCGGAGGCTCCCGGTGGAGGAGGAGTGCGCAGGGCCCCGGTACGTGCTCATCTACATCATCTTCATCAGCACCAGAACATCATCTTCATCAGCACCAGAACATCATCTTCATCATCTTCATCAGCACCAGAACAACATCTTCATCTTCATCAGCACCAGAACATCATCTTCATCAGCACCAGAACATCATCTTCATCAGCACCAGAACATCATCTTCATCAGCACCAGAACATCATCTTCATCAGCACCAGAACAACATCTTCATCAGCACCAGAACATCATCTTCATCAGATGTACTTACACCATCCTCATCCTCATCCTGACAGAGTTAGTCAGCAAAAAACAAAACCGTTCAACAAAGATCTTTACACGTAATAAAATAGACGTTAACTGAAAATATTTTTTAAAACGTAAACCCAGAGCAACATGTCTTTGCTTAGTTTAATGATGTACTACATTAGAATTTGAAATTAATTTATTATTAGAAACTTTATAGACATTTTTAAAACGAAAAAAAGACAACACAAAACAGAATTACTAAAACTTTAAAAGTAAAATTAAATACAAAAAATAAAAAACTAATTTAAAGTATTAAAAAACTATAATAGTGTCACAATGATATTAAATAACAGCATCCTACAGAACCAGCACAGTGTGTACTTCACATCATCATCATCCTCATCAATTAGTTTATTTAGAACCATACAATAAATAAATTATGCTAATGTAAGCGACATAAAGTCCTGGCTTATTTAAACATCTTTGTTACAAGAAAATATCCATTTAGCAACAGAAATAATTTCATTTGTTTGTCATTCTGTATTTCAGGTGAAAGCGCAAGAATATGAATCCAGACAATGAGCTAATAATAAATCAATAGGATAGACTAATAATAATAATAATACATATATGAAAATAATGTCAGGAATTAGCCTACTCGTGTATATTTGCAGTTTTGAAATATTACTGACTACATATCAACTCAAGTCCCCTTTATCTGTAGCTCTGTATACAGTACTGATCGCGTCAGAGCAGCGTTACAGAGTTACAGAGTACTGACCGAGAGCAGAGTTACAGAGTACTGACCGAGAGCAGTGTTACAGAGTACTGACCGAGAGAATCGTTACAGAGTACTGACAGAGAGCAGCGTTACAGAGTACTGACCGAGAGCAGCATTACAGAGTTACACAGTACTGACCGAGAGCATCGTTACAGAGTTACAGAGTACTGACCGAGAGCAGCGTTACACAGTACTGACCGAGAGCAGCGTTACAGAGTTACAGAGTACTGGCCGAGAGCAGCGTTACAGAGTACTGACCGAGAGCAGCGTTACAGAGTACTGACCGAGAGCAGCGTTACAGAGTACTGATCGCGTCAGAGCAGCGTTGCAGAGTTACAGAGTACTGACTGAGAGCAGCGTTACAGAGTTACAGAGTACTGACCGAGAGCAGCGTTACAGAGTACTGATCGCGTCAGAGCAGCGTTACAGAGTTACACAGTACTGACCGAGAGCAGCGTTACAGAGTTACAGAGTACTGACCGAGAGCAGCGTTACACAGTACTGATCGCATCAGAGCAGTGTTACAGAGTTACAGAGCAAGAGGACAGTAACAGAGTCGTGTTTCAGCTGCAGTCAGTGTGTGAGCAGTGTGAGTGTGAGTGTGTGTGTGTGTGATGAAGAGTCCTCCTCGTGTGTGTCGCAGGTGAGCTGCTGTTTCAGGCCGCGCGGGACACAGATGAAGAGCCGTCTCTCCCGGAGCTGCTTCCGGTGATGATGAGCGACAGACCGGAAGCGCCCGACCGGCGGAAGCGGAACCTCTCTCTGGGACTGGCAGGAATGTGCTGCAATCAGGGCTGCACCAAAAACGACATCGGCCTCCTGTGCTGATGCTGCTGCTGCTGCTGATGATGATGAAGGACTCACTGATGAAGAACTGAACTGTTAGATCATCCCAGTGCTTCATTTATTTCACATCTGTTCATATGACCACATGAATAAACAACTTCTTGATTGCAACTTTCATATTTACTGACTAATAATCTGTTCATAAGAATCGCCAAACGAATAAAAGCAAGTGTTACGAGTGAATGTTTACCAGAACTAAATCAGATCTGATTTAAGTGTTCAACTGCTCAAAGCTTCAAGACATAAAGTATAACAAACACGCATTCGAACAGGAGCAGAGTTCAGGGGTCTGCAGAGAAGCTTCTCCTCACAGACTGCTGTTAGAACAACACACTTATACCGAGCCCCGCACGACAGGTCACACACACACACACACACACACACTCACACTCACACCCACACACACACACATACACACACACACTCTCTCACTCACTCACTCACACACACTCACACATATACACACACACACACACACCCACATACACACACACACACTCTCTCACTCACACACATACACACACACACACACACA